GAGTGGAAGATAAGAGATGAGAGTTCTAATGGTATTACACTAAATAACCATTACTTTGTATTGTGACGAATTTAAAGATTAATATTCGTGAATTTTTAATTCTAGTGTGCCCAAAACTCTTTTACAAAATAGAAAACAAAAGAACCATAAAACCTTCATTCTTTCATAGGCTAGCTAGAAGTGATACATAATATGCCATGTTGTGAAATTATCAATTTAATTTGTTGAATGGTGATTTTATGATTTTTGTATGTAAGATATCACACTGTTCATCTATACTATAATATGACTAATATAACACACACACACACACTTGTGTGTGTAATACATACTGTAATGTTAATTCATGCACACGCAAATAGTTAGGTAATGGTCTAGCTCGTACCAGTCCCCTGCTTCTTGTATTTTACATTTGATTACTGAAATCAATCACAAAAGCAATTAAGAATTCTTGTCTATATATAAACTCTCTACAAGGTTTTTCAAATGAATAAAGGTAATGGGTTTCTTTTGATGGTGGAATCATGGCCGACAAGGGCATCATCGAGTATGAAAAGCTATTTTCTTTAAAGTTATCTATGTTCCAAACTTTGACATGGGTGGAGGAATATAATTAGTAGTTTCTCTTATTTCCTTTCACTTTTGAGCTTAGGTGGAAGTTGCATTTTCTCCCACCAAATGATGGCAGACAGGAACACATCTAATGAAACTTCAAAGGTGGAATTTATAAGGGAGATTTTAAACAATTCTGGGTGGGGCTATAGTGTTCCCAACATATATTGACTCAAAAGATAAACCCTAAAAGAAAACAGTGAACAAAGATTTTGTGTAACCTAAAGTTGGAATACACGGGGTAGGTTTTAGGTGATCCTTTTTCCAAAGAATTCCTTGTTTATTGTTGGCGATGGCTTAACATCAAAATCACATCATAATTTCTCCTTCTCTATCACAACACAAGCAAACACATCACCCCACACAAACACACCCCCACCCCCTTCAGCATGCTAAAAGATCTTGAAGGGTTAACCTTATATATGGTTCCTATATCATGCCAGCAAAACTGCATTGTCCATGACGTAATTGTCATAGAAATCATACATCACTACCATAAAATATATTTTCCCGACGAACCAAATTTTGTTGGACAAACTTTCTTTGCCCGACGAAATTTAAATTTGGTTGCACAAAATAAGGCAACGTTCAAGATTTTTTTTCATCGTGTCCAATATTATGTATATTTCATTGACAGACAGTACGTCTTTCTATATGTTTGAGGTATGCAAATGCACAATGAGCTGAAGTATATACTGAAAGTAGTATATAGATAATTTAGGTAGGAGATTTTGGTTGAGTGGTTCTATTAGAGAATGTCATGCACCTCCATGTCGTCTAACTAGTTGCTTCATCAACTTACCATGTCATTAACCTCATCCAATCCAATGATGGTCAAATATTTAAAACCCTAACTGTCTATTAAATTGTAATGAAACTCCAAATAAGTCCTATAATAAATACTAAACATAATTAAATTATAGTAGTCCTCTAGTTTGTAGCGTCATGACAATCTTTATTTCATCAATTAATAAAATTATATTCGTTGTAATTGATTTGTTAGTCAGTTTGTTACTCTTCGTGCATAATTATATTCATACTTTTTAACTTTTCTAATAAATATAAGAATCCTTATAAGTCTAGGTTTAACTCACTCCAGTTCATCCAACTCCCTCTTAGACTGGTCATGGACTGACGCAGTGACGCATATATATTCTTTCCCTCACCCAAAGGTAAATACCTTTTTTAAATAGAACCACCGGTGAAAGCAAACACACAACACATTGTCCCTATCTACATGTCATGCGCATTGTCTCTCTATATACCCTTAGATTACGTGACACTCCTATGAACATCGCATTCAAGGCCCCCCAAAGAAATATGAACAACATAAAAGACAAGGGTTTAGCTTCACTTGTGAGTAATATAGCCAAAGTTCATGAAGGGCAGTCCTTAATCTATGGACCCAGCTTAACGCGACATACGACATTTCCGTAAATTTGATCAAACTTATTCTAATTAAGCAAATCATTATCTGTTGGCTAACTAATTAAGAAGGGTATTCATCTTATCTAATACTAATTGGTAGTGCAGCACACATGGTCACTTTAATTAAAAATGAAAATAACATAATTTAAGAGAGAATAATTTTTATTTTTTAAATCGAGTAAAGTTAAATCTCGATGAATTTAATAAAGTGGAGAATATATCTATACATAAAATAATTGGATATATAGATTAAGCGTTGATCAGCTATTAACTCAACATGACGCTAATTAATCAGTCGTATGAGTCACTTATATAATATTTATATAATCTAAACCAATCATGATATTTCCAAATTGAGTCAAATTTTTGTAAGAATGATCTAAGACTGAAGACCAAAAAATGAGATGTTCAAATCGTGAGATTGTTTTGTGAAAATATATAGATTATTGGTTAGCGCCTTATTAAGTTACTAACCAGTGTTTTAGTACTCTGCCTAAAATAAAGTATAAAGAATGTAGCATTAATACAATGAATAAGAGAATAGGAAGGTGGCGACAGATGACATTCCAACAACAAACCATGGAAGCTTATAACAAAGAATACAGTGCACGTTGAGATTTTTCCTTAGATCATGGCAGCTCCCATGTGAGAACCCTACGTTCAAACAGTTTTCTTTGTCATTTCGTTTGGCTCTATGCATTTTCTTGTTTTTGTCTTACACGTGTGTCCTCATTTCTTTTGCTTTCTTGGAGAAAAGCTCCCATCCACTTAACCAACTCAATACATCAAGACACCGAAATTTGTAGAAATTTTTAAATGTGCTGAGAACACAGCTCAATAGATCATATATCATAATACAAATTGTTGGAAAATTTCATTTTTTAAATATTTAACCACTTGTATTATGACACTTGATGTACCAGATTATGTTCTTGACACACTTAAAATCTCTCCTCAAGTATAATTGTTATATCTGTAATGGTAAAAGCACCAAGTGCAATTATTTATATATAAATAAATACAGCCCAAATTAGATGATATTTAGTACCTAAGCTGGCCCCCTCTGAAATCCTCCGCACTATGCAGGAACCTACGTGCAAAGCATGACTTAATTATTATAAAGATGTTTCAAAATAATTTGTATCTTATGGACTGAATAAAAATTTTGCTTCACAGTTATTAATTTAAGTTGCGGTGTTGCATGCATGAAACAATTATGTAAGTTACGTTAAAACAACAGAAAATGCGTGTTAAGGACTAAAACGGGATGTTCACCAGATGAAAAAAAAAAAAAAAAAAAAAAGAGAAAAAGACTAAAACGGGATCAGCGCACTGCTGATACAACTTCGTGCCACATGTAATACGAATGTTGGTCTTGTGATGTGCTACGAAACAAACCAAGTTAACCAACACAGGTACTATACATTTCTATTGAATTTAAAATAATTTATAAGAAATTGTTATTAGCGTTTTAAAAATTTCATTGTACTCCTTATAAATGCATTACTTTTACTTATAAAAAGTTTGCAGTAAAAAAACGAGATTATTAAGTACCAATAATAATTCGTTATAAATATATTTTTTTCTTTTTATTTATTTACAAATATCAAGCATTCTGATGTCTTATTTGTTGACCCCTTTTTTTTTAATATTTCCATACATTTCCACTAACGAATAAATGAATATTGATACAGGTACTTATACATATCTACCCCACTCTATTTCCTTAGCTAGTACATTATCAAACTCATGAGTTGGTGCGAGTTCGCTAAAATTAATTTGTTATTTTAGTAACAAATTTAAGAACCACCATATTTTGTTTTAACAAAAAAGGGCTCAAGTGGTGGCCGCTTTGTCACTGCAGTCCACCTTTTCGGAGGGTTGAAAAAACTCATAACGACATTTCATCATCTCTATGCTCATGATTATTGTGTGATTTAACTGTGCTAGGAATTGAACCCAATAACATAGAAAATATGAACCTGAAATTCATTCAAATCTTTGAGTCACCCCATAGTGGTTTAATAACAACCCTACTGAATCAACAACAGTAAACTTGTAGATTTATAAAGTAATGGATGAACAGAAAAATCCAAGTGTATTTGTACAAATGCTTTTCGAAAAAGAAAAAGGTTGAGTCTATAGATTACTAGAGTTGGATTCTTTTTTCTTTTCTTTTTGGTGAGAACTATAGCTCGATTCTCTACTTATTTTGTTCTCACTCAACCTTTGATGAAGGCATATTACTCTACAAATCTTTAACGATTTTGATTCAATATTTTCAATTCTACAATTAAACCCTAAATTACAAATAAGAGTTACTAGATTTGTGACTATAACTCACTAATATTCTATTTTCCACAGAAAAAAGACTAAGCATTGCATTTGAACCGCAGATATGGTCAAATTGAAGGTTATAAGGACAATACTATACAGCTGATTTTGTAAGACAAATATAGAATCTTTTACTCAGTAAACGTGAATGGAAATTTCTTTAAAAGTATTACGTATAAGTGTATAAGTACGTGCAAACCCACTATGCACGTTATTTATAGGTTTTTTTTTTTCTCTTAATTCGAGTGATTTTTTTTATTTATACAAAAATGAAATCGAACTTGAGACTTCGGTGGTAAAGTAGATATTTTTAGTCTAAATTAAGAGAAGGAAAGTTGATTTTAAGTGTATGGACATCTCACTCTTTGCTCAAACCAGCAATTGACTACATCTGCCTATGCATGCTATTTTAACCTCTGGATTGGAAAAACACAAAAAAGAGTTAAAATTAAAAATTAAAAACACATACACAGCTACATCAATCAATCACTAGCCAAAAATACGCGAAAAACCCGAAACAAAAAAAATAAAAAAAGAAAAAGAAACCGAAACAAAAGAAACGAAGTTCGCACCATCCCTTCCCTTTCCCTCCTTATATAAGCCAAAAACCAACGCTCAAAACCATCTCTCTTTCCGCTGTCTCTTCCCTCTCCCTCACTCTCTCTAGAACCAGCCATGGACGACTCGCCCTCACCATCCGAACCCTCGCCGGAGCTCGATCTCGAAAACCTCAGGGCCCTTAAAGTCTTAGGCAAGGGAGCAATGGGCACCGTTTTCTTAGTCCACGACCCGTCATCCGACCCCTCCGCCCGCCTCCCGTTCGCTCTCAAAGTCGTCGACAAGTCCGCCCTCAGCTCCAAGCTAGACGCCGAGCGCCGCGCCCGTTGGGAAATCCAGGTCCTGACCAGACTATCCAGCCCGAACCCACACCCGTTTCTACCCTCCATCATGGGGTCGTTCGAGTCCGACGAGTTCATGGGATGGGCTGTCCCTTACTGCCCCGGCGGCGACCTCAACGTACTCCGATACCGCCAAAACGACCACGTTTTCTCCCCCGCCGTGATCCGATTTTACTTGGCGGAGATCGTCTGCGCGCTCGACCACCTCCATAGCATGGGGATCGCCTACCGAGATTTAAAGCCCGAAAATGTACTCATCCAACAGTCCGGTCACGTGACACTCACGGACTTCGACCTCTCGATAAGCCTCAAGCACCGGACCGTCAAACCAAACGACGCCGTTTCGGAAATCGAAGCCCCGGAGGTCCGCCGCAAACACCGGCGGAACCTGACACGTTGGATCACAATTATAAACGACAATCACAAGAACGGCGGCGGTGGGAAGGGGCTGAAGAAGGCCAAGTCGGCCCGAGTCAGCCCGGTGAGTCGACGGAAGCCGAGTTTCTCGGACGGTGAGCGAGCGAACTCGTTTGTCGGGACGGAGGAGTACGTGTCCCCCGAGGTAGTGCGCGGGGAGGGCCACGAGTTCGCCGTGGACTGGTGGGCCTTAGGAATTCTAACTTACGAGGCGTTGTACGGTACGACGCCTTTCAAGGGGAAGAACCGGAAGGAGACGTTTCGGAACATCCTGACGAAGACACCGGAGTTTATCGGGAAGCGGACTGCTCTAACGGACTTGATCGATCGGCTGCTAAACAAGGACCCCACAAAGCGGTTGGGGTACCACCGGGGCGCGTGCGAGATCAAGGAGCATGAGTTCTTTCGCGGGGTCCGGTGGGACCTGCTGACGGAGGTTTTGCGGCCACCGTGCATTCCGTCGCGGGAGGATGGTGATTTAACGGAGAAAGCCACGGCTCGAGGGGGAGTCAGCGTGAGGGAGTATTTTCAAAAGTTACGGTCTCCGCCGTCGATGCCGCCGTCGCCGGATTACCAACTGACCGAGTTCTGACGCACGTGTGGGAGTTGGTATGCATGTGTAAGGAGAAATACATGCAGAAGTAAGTAACAAAAAAAGTGTATCCTCTGTATATAATAACGGTAGATGGGCTGTAACCTTAAATAGTAATAGACGATAGTTAGCAATAGAATTGTAAGATATACGAATTCAAAACGGTGTATAACCTTATTTTCCGGGGTATTTTTTACTCGCACCAAGGCGGCGGTTGTTTGCCACGCTCTAAATTTTTGTTGTTGTAGAAGTGTAATGAATAAAATCTCATTAATCCGTCTTAATTAAGTTAGGAGTTATTTTTCCTTACATAAGAAATCGAAAACTTGGCTTGAAAACGCTAATCTAATGGTGTATAGACAGCCGAATTTTGACTATCTCAAAGTACTTGTTCAAACGCATCACGTACGTAATTCACCCTGATCTAAACCATTCTTTCTTTAACTTGAGGTTACAGTTCATTCAATTATTCGCGCACGAAGTTTTGTTTGAATGCAAAGAAAAAGGGGTGATAAGATGGGTAAAGTTCGAGCTTTGATTACAAGTTAAAAAAGGTTGTTTTGAAATTGGAAAACCCTTTGTCTAAGGTTCGTTTAACTTCAACTTTACTATGCTTTGATTCTTTTGTTTTTGTTTGATAAAAGTTTAGAGGGAGGGGAGGCTATCCCGTCTCAGGATTAGGGCATACTATAAGTCTCTTTGAGGACCTACAGACGGGTCTTAACTTCTTTTTTGATTTTTGCAAATCGCCTACCAAGAGAAATTGCTGACAGCGGGCCTTAGTCTAACAAAGAGAACGATGCTTACCAACTCAACCAACCTCGTTGGCTAACATGATTTGATTCATTACATTACAAGGAAAAACACATCTTTCTTGAGTGAAAAGTTATTGGTAGGGTCAAGAATTATAATCGACATCATTTTACTCACCAAAAAGATAATTATAGTAACAACTATTTTTGTTCCGTGAAGAGTGGTATATGCCAATTCACGGATGATCATCATAATTAGAAAACTATATATATTTGGACTAGAAATCATGAATGGCCATTCCTTTTACACGTGCTCAAGCTCATTGGCTTTGAGTGCTTAAATTGATCCATTTTTTATATTGTGTTAGTTTTACTAGTTTCTATAGTATGTAAATTTGGATTTAGCCAAGTTTATTTTTACTAGTTTATGGTATGTAAACTTCAAGTTATGTAAGTTGGTTAGAACAATATCTCTACTTAAATTTGAATTTCCCTGCTTTTAGTTAGATGAGTTTAGTGTAAAATATCATTTGTACAAAAAAGAATACCTGTTTCTAGTCTACATCTCCACTTTAGTTAAGCAGATTTTATGAGTTTGATACTGAGTTGTGACGATCTATTGCAATGACATATCATTATAGTGGGCGGATTAACATGTCATAACATTATCTTTATAAATATCTTATTATTTGTCCAGACAAAAAAAAAAAAAACTTGTATTCATTACTAATGCTGGTTTAAATCTCTCTAAGCCAAAAGATTATAAATAAACTAAAGAGGTTTCCTGTATAAAGATGATCACTTTGGACACAAAAAAGGTGAGAGCTTATGTTATGATTAGGAGACAAAATGTTCTTAAATCACGCTGTTTATTAGTAGATTATGGTCTTAATTAGTTCCAACTTTACCAGTAATTCATACGACTTTAATCCATGGCGCCCGATAGAGAGTTGTATTAGTAATGATTACAACTTTGCCAATAAAAATTGCAATTGTTCAACTTGAAGATGAAATTTTAGTTGTGCCGGAAACACGATCCGGTACATCAAGTTTCATAATACAAGCATGTTGATACTCGAAACAAATTTTTTTTAATCATTTATATTATAATACTTAGTGTGCCAAACTGTACTTTCGGCGACATGAAAATTTCTCCAACTTAGAAATGAAGTATTGGTTGGCAAAGGATTAGGGTTAAATTAGCATAATATTCAGAGCCAGCGAGCCACCAGCTGAATAATTTGCCAGAAAACCCATGCATGGACCATTTGTTGGCAAAGGCCTGAAGGGTGCAATTGAATATAATTTGATAATGAGGGGAAAATATGGAAAATCCCAAAAGCACGTGATCGATTATTTTCCGATAATACAGGGACCACTCGTGTGCAAAAAGCAATAAAGTTTACTAGCTTTGGGCACTTTTGCAACTCAGCTTTTACCAGCAAGTGGATGAAATAGTTAGCCTTTAAAAATGGCGGTCTGCAAACTTTCTAAGGAGAAGATAGAGAAGATAGTGGCAGTGGTAATTGTTTTTAGAGGATTTTGCACTAACATATATAGTGGTAGTGGACGAGATAATGCTTTGGAGATTGTAACAGTGAATCTGTCAGTGAGCTTTATGCTAATGACAGTTTAATGCAGATACAGTTAAATTTCTGTAAATTAATAACTTTGAAACTAAGATAAATTTATTAATTTGCTAGTCCATTGCCACCTCCCTCACCCTGGGTAAATTTATTAATTTAACAAATATTAAATATTGTGTATTTAGTTTCTCGTTTTACAAAATAACAATTTTATGTATTTGTTTAATCAAATAAAATGCATGAATCTACTCTTTTTTTTTCTCAAAAATAGATTGTCCATTGTTCAATCATCAATGTACTACATTATCTCATCATTTCATGAACATTTAACAAACCAAAAACTCTACATAAATAAAAAAGGCATAATAATAGAGAATTATTAATTTATATATGCGTGAGACTCATATGAATTTTTATAATGTATTATCTTATAAATTTAGTAAATTATTAATTTAGCACGTTATTTCCTAGTCAAAACCGGCCAAAAGAATCACTTACTTGAGATCTCCTTCTCCTCACATCCTTGTGTGATTAAGCGAGCACAATACTATACCGATAAAAGAGGTCGAGTTGTACATTTAGATGTTAAATGAATTTTCGCAAGTGAAGATTAAAAATTTGATTAAAAAGAGCTTTTATATTCTCTTACAATATTGCTCAACCAATCATAACCAACTCTAACAAACATATTAACCACTCGTGTTCGCTCATTTCTACACACTATTATTAAGTTTGAACTACATATACAATAATATATGGAGTCTATCAATTTATATGATACGTGAATTTGTAATTGATAAAACAATGTATAATGTGAGTTTTTAAGGTAAAAAAAGGAAAAGAAGAACATAAAGGAGGAAAAAAATAATACTATAATTGACATCAATTATCTGTGTATTATACAGTAGAATATAAGCACACCACTATCCTAAAAACAGGCTTAGAAGGTCGTCTAGGCACTAAGCAGAGGCCAGGGGCGCCGATTAGGGCCTAGCCGTTTACAAAATAGGTGAAGCCTCTAGGCGGTCCTCTGCAATTCAAAGTTTTTACATAAGATTTTTGAAGATAATTTTCTTGTAAAATAACTCCGAACTTTCTTTCTTGTAAGTAACTTTGAATACATACAATTTGTAACCACTTATTTATATGTTTTTCTTATTTTATAATAAATTTAATTAAAATTAAACTCACCTAGGCTTCCAAACCCTAAGCTCTTGTCAGCCGCCTGACTAGCATCCAACGCTTTTTAAAACCTTGAAGTACACACATGTATAGTCGGGTAAAGGAATATCACATGAAAGAGCAAAATATCTAACTATATCCTGTATGAATTATATAGAAAAACAAACCCACAGTAGTAGGGCAATTACAAAAATGGAAAATCCATACCAAAGACGACAATAGAATCAAAATATATATATAATGTCGGTACTTGTTTGACAGTATGTAGCATCTGGTGCTCAACCTAAACAAGAACTGCTGCAATCGGATGCCAATTAACATGCAATAAACACGAACATATTATTCTATTTGTCGGTTAATTTATTAGGGCTACCGGCTACGTGTTGAAAAACTATTGTTGTTTCTTTTTCTTGTGACTGGAGAGCTAAACTTTGAGGCCCACAAACACTGAATTTGAGTGACTGAAAACCAAATGCAATCTTTGTCTTCTACCTCTAGGCTCTAGGGTTAATTAGCTCTTCTGCGTTTTTATTAGGAATGGTCCTTGCACTAGAAAACAATCTGGCTTTCCGACTATGCATGAATCGGGCAACGGCGAGGCTTTTAGGTCTAGCCCTAGCTACGCTACCATACAATGTCTAATTTCTGCAAAGAAGATTAAAAAATTAAATGTAATATTAATTCCAAAATTTGGATCGAATGTGAAGGTAAAAGATATTAGATAAGCATGTAATATTAGGAGATTAGATTGCCATGTCTGCATTGCCACATATGCAGTGGCGTATGGGTTAAGCTAGAGGTTTTCAATTCACTTGTATAAATAGCATATCCCTCCTTTTCTATTAAGTAAGTCGGTATTGAACTAATTGTTTCTAGAGAGAGAAATACAATTGAGAATAGTTTTCTTCTTTCTTAAACTTTTCTACTTCCTTTACATCTGCAATTCTTGAGTTCATCCATGGATGTTAAGATGGTATCCTGAGATTCTTACGAGGGACACTCAGTGTGGATTGACTTTTACTGCAGCTTCTCATTAATTATCTCTCGATGCCTATAGTGATTCTGACTGGGCAGCAGATTTGAATACTAGAAGATTCATCACTGGCTATGTTGTGTACTTGGGGGATAATCCTATCTCTTGGCAATCTAAAAAGCAAGCATCAGGTGTCCAGGAGCTCTACTGAGGCTGAATATAGAGCTTTGGCACATACAACTGCGGATATAGCATGGATTCGGCTGATACTCAAAGATCTTCATAAGTTCTTGTCTATACCTCCTATCATATAATGTGATAATTAATCTGTGATTGCCTTAAGTCTAAATCTGGTTCAACATTCTCATATTAAGCATTTGGAAACGGATGTTCACTTATTTGAGAACGAGTGCATAAGGGTGATTTGGTTGTGCAGTATATCCCAACTCAAGATCAAGTAGCTGATGTTCTTACCAAAGAACTTCATGGTCCTGATTTTCTTAGACACTGTTTCAATCTTAGGCTTGGCTACCCTAGTTAAGATTGAGGGAGGTATAAGCATGTAATATTAGCATATTACATTGCCATGTCAGCATTGCCACATGTGCATTGGAGTATGGGTTAAGCTAGAGGTTTTCAATTCACTTGTATAAAAAGTATTTCCCTCCTTTTCTATTATTGTACGTGATAACTGTTTCTAGGTAGAGAAATACAATTGAGAATAGTTTTCTTATTCCTTAAGCTTTTTTGCTTCCTTTACATTTGCAATTCTTGAGTTCATCTATGGATGTTAAG